AGTCATACAACTCTAAAAATAGCGGACATTCTGACGGACTCGCCGTCGATGGTATAAGAGTGCATTTGGAGCCATCCGTTACTCTCCGCACCATGTTAAATTCTAGATGAAACAGCGGTGCATTCAGCAGTGGATAACGACCCGAAGGTTTCAGCACTGAAGAAGTCGACAACATCTACACTACGCTAGCAATGTAGCATTGCTCATGAAAAGTTACAACTCATAGTGGAAAAAGTCAACATCCTGAAGCAAGACTTTGGTCTTAAATTCAACTTGATAAAATCTAGAGGGACGACAGTGATCAGATACCGTGTTCCATTTCAATACGAATTATGCAGAATTGCAAAAATATTTTACAATACATCGCATAGTATATAAACCATAGTATTTGAATTGTTTGATGTCGCTCCCTAATAACAGATTAAATACGGTCTGATAAACTTACGAACATGAACATAGTAAATTTGGCAGTAGGTATCATTCAGTAAAGAATTTTTGCAACTTAGAACTGTCCTTCCACATAAAAGATTTAACTTCGGTTTTTAAAGATGAATTGCGCAGACGGTTTTGAGCTGCAGCAGGTGGCCTCCTTTTAGGGCATTGAATTTATGGTGAACGAAAACTATAAGGCGAAATTCACCAGTGTTCAAGGCCATCATAGGTAGATTTTATTAGTGACCAAAATAAGGCCAGGTAAAAATAGATAACTTCAAAGAAGTTGTGATATTATGAAATACATAACTCATACCTACCGCCAGCTAAATGTGTGACAGCTGGACAACGAGGTGGTAGAAAGATCGCCTGCACGACCTAGAGACCAATGAAGGTGCACTGAAAAAAATGGCACCCAGTGTCAGCTCTTCAAAGGCGTAAATATAGAAAATGCTTCCATAACGAAAAGAACAATGATTGTTTGGAGGAAGTAGAATTACAAAGCTCTATTCCTGAAACGAGAATGAAAGGAAAATCGAAACCATGCAGAAAATCGAAACTATGCCCGGAAATGCATAGTCGAGCATATTCATTTCATTTGGACCGCATAAGACAATGAGATATGGCCTGCAATTATTCATAATTCTGTTCATCCAAAGAACATGGGATGACACTGCTCTGCATTACGTAACAAAAGACAAATAACATATAACTGTTCCAAAAACAGATTTCACGAAATACAGCAGCACATATGCTCCATGTTGCCTAAGGGGCCATTTAAGCAGGCCACTGCTACAATATATTTGAGCACCGGTTATAAAAAAAGCGTCTGTTTATGCAATCTTTGTATCACTTCTGATTTCTTTCAGAATCACTTAAAGGCTTACATAACTGGAGTGGTTATTAAATTCACCTTAAGGCTTGCTCTCTTTGGGTCAGTCCTACTGTGTTACGGATAAAGGATGTTTCTTCCCACAATGACAGTTCAGCGCAAGGGCTACTCCACAGCACTGTGCAGAACATTTTTGTTTCCCTCGATCAAGCCCTCGATCCCCTGAATACCAATCTGCCTCGTTCTTGTACTTGATCTGATCCATCGAGATTCCACTGCGAATATGGAAGTCACTGTGAAAGACAAGAAAGCACCACCCACTCAGTCAATACCTACTTTGCCTTGTCCTTCAGTAACAAACTAACCACTAGACAGTGCAGATACGATGGAAAGTGTCATTCTAGGTTCGACTCTTCACCAAGGCAAAGTTTAATGAAACCTAGCACATCGAAGGGCTACCTACGATGGAACAAAATTCAGATATGGAAGTTAGCTTCAAAGCGTATCTTAATTGCTCAGTCGGTAGAACATCGAACTCAGAAGCGAGAGGTCCCGGATATCAAGCCCAGGAGAGGTCACTCTCCTTTCTTCCTTCCGAGGTTGACAGATGAATAGCACTCTATAAAAAGGAAACAGGAGACTCCATACTACGTACTATGCTGACCACATAGCTGCTGCCGACCATGCCTTTAAAATATGCCACTCACGGCTGATGAAATGGAGATCAGCGATTCACCATTAAATTTATGAAAAGAAGTGCACCAGAAGCGGCCGCGATCACGAAAATGTAGGAATACTGATATTCCAAAAGTTACAAAATTTCCAGCGTTTTTACTTCAAAACAACAGTTGCAGAAAATGAAAATCTCGTCTTAACGCCATTTACTTTGACGTAGCAACAGCTACCAACATATCGTTACTGAATGGCTCATAGCAAATGGCCATCGATCTCATATGTTTGCATGCACGCCCACAGATTCTGACATGGGGTCCGATCATGCACATAAACCGGATGAGGAATTCCCATGATTTTTCAACAATCTGGCCCAAGGCAAATCTCCGGTCAGAGGTGCTTCGGCCACACCTGAAGCCACGATGCTCTTCTCGTATTTTAGAAAAAGTTATTCCGCAGCACCCCCTTTCTAACATACTTGTGTAGACTTTTCCCGGGAAGCTCAGGAAGGTAATGGCATGACAATCAGAGCACTCCCTATCATCTCCCACCTTGAAATGTTGTAAAACTCCCGTTCTCCAGTCCACTGGTGTCCTCCCTGTAGCCTCTGCAGTTTGAAAGACAAGTATTAGCCAAAACATGGTTGTTTCTCCTAAAGCTTTAAGCATTTCATCGATTCAAGCATCCTATCATTTTTCAAGCTTTCCACAGTTGCTGTGACTTTATGTAATGAACGACTAATATCCGTTGCCTTCTGCTCTTTAGGCGAGTCTTCTTGGGGCCGTTCGAGTTTAAGGTGTAAAAAGTACTCTCTCCATCGCCTAAATAGGTCCTTACATTCGGTATAAAACTTTTAGACTTGTCCTTCATGACGCCTACATTGTCCTTCTCTCCATCTCGAAGGCAGTGGGTGGTCTGCCAGAGTACCTTGTTTTCAGCCTGGAATTTCGACTTCAGCACCTCACCGAACATTTCCAAGCAATTAGGTTTCGATTTGGTCACTGCTTTAGCTGTTCGTTGCGCGCATCTTCGCACTGCATTCAATTGAAGGCCCTTAGTTTCCAAGCCACCTCTTGAATGCAGCCTTCTTTTAGCTGGCATCCAGCTGAACCTCGTGTAGAAAGTTCGCTTCTCACGTAGAGATGACAGAATGACAGAACGACCCATTTTAAAATACAGCCTTCGGCGGCAGCCCCGAGTAAGCTGCCATTAAAGGAATCCCATTCAGTTTCCATGTCAGCGGTCATTACTGGGATTCGTTCAAACCATTGTACGCTGTAGTTTGCAAGTTTTGCCCTCGTATGTGATATTTCCCATTTGATTTTCTGGTTTCTTCTACCACATGGTTCTGGCATAACACTCCATTGTTTGCAATGGTGATGACCGGTTGATGGCTCTGCGCCTCTCTTAACTCGAAGATCCATTACAGAGCGTCGTAAGTCAGACGATACGATTATCAAATCTATCATCGACTTCTGTGCACAAGCTTCCTTCTACCACGTATACTGATGCGTTTCCATGCTCGTAGGTGTTCATTAGCGATAGTCCGTTGTTTTCACAAAACCGCAACAGCTTCATTCCGTTATAATCGACATCGCAAGAGCAGCTCTTTCCAGTTATGCTTTTCCACTTTTAAGTGTTTGTTCCGACGGGCGCACTGAAATCGTTCATCATAATGACTGATTCCGTACTTTGAACTTCGTTCAGAGTACCTTCCAGTGTTTCCAAAAACTTATTCTTCCTCCGATTGAGCTCACAGACGTGCAGAAAGTTAACAGCTTTCGTCTGTTGCAACTTCCACCGGAGGATTGCCACAGTTCCACTAACAAGCTTTCATTAATTGATTCTGCCAGCTGCAGCCGGTTTGGATTCTATCGAAATGCCAACATCAGACTGAACGCAGGCTGTAAAGTGGACATCTGAGCTCAACACAAAGTTTAACATTAACAAGAAGTCGACAATTAGGCTCGACCCTAGCTTCCGCCCGTGTAGGTTCAGAATCAAAGAGCTTTACCGCTTCGATGACGAGTGTCCATCTCGATTCTGTACTTTACGGCCTCAAAAACTCCTGATCTTTCCCTCTGAAATATGTTCCAATTTCCGACTGTAAATTCCCACTGGAGATGACGTTCCCGCAGTCTTTTCTGACGTGCTATAA